TTATTAATTTTAGATCAAGTCAGATCGGGTACGATTTATACAATATCAGGTCAGGTTGGGTTCAGATATGAAAAAGTAAAAAAAGTTTCGGGTCGAGTCAAGTTCGGGGCGAGCAAAAACCATCCCGATCCGACCTGTTGCTAATCCTATGAAATTCATATTTATAAGTGGTGGATCCATATATAATTCTTTAATTAAATGAATAATTATAGAATTATAATAAAAAGAATTGTAGGTGAAATACCCTAGAGCTAATTTGCCCATTTTAATTAAATTTGTTATTAAAATGTTAAAAATATTTTTATATTAATATTTTAAAATTAAAATTTAATTAAAATATATTATTTATTAATATAATAAAATTCTCAACATTGAACTCAAGCATAAAGGTGTCTATGAGTTGATACAAGTTGGGTTCATACTTAATATTAATAGCTTATATACTTGCTTAGACTTGGTTCGATTTGAAATTTTGGGCCTCAAAATTTTTCTAAGACCGGCCCAAATTGAAAAAATAAATACCAAAGCCATCCATTAAACTTAATTTATACAATAAAAAATTAAAAAAATCTTTTTTAAATATAAAAATAAAAATTTATATATATACTTATATAATTATAATATTTAATTATATATATTATATTTGAGTCGAGCTGGACTTGGATTTTAATTTTTTTGTTTAATATTCAGTCCAAAATTTAAACAGGCCTAAAAATATGTGCTCATGCCCATTTAACATGCTTTAATTTTTGTTCAAACCCTCTTAAAATTTGATGGACTTTTAGACCTAGACGGATAGTCTGGCTTTATAACATATCTACTTAACCATAAAAAATCATATTTACGATTGAATCAAAGTCTTTGATCAATAGCCTAGATAGTAATTGGGTCTGTAAACACCTAATAATTAACAAGTACTCCAACTACAACAACTAAGAGAATGACTGTGAAATGAATGATATTTAATCAAGTTTGATCATCGGTAAAAAATAATAATAATAATAATTGAATAAAAAAAGTATATTTATAGAAAAATCAATAAACAAATCAACATAAACCAACATAGAATTAAATTAAATCCAACATACCATGAGATTCGATTATAAAATCTAATGCTTCCAATCCCTCTTTCTTATTATTCAGACAAACTTCAATTGATAGTATGAACAAAGTTTAATTTGTGGAAAATAAAACTCTATTGCTTGGTTTAACACAAAGGTACATAATTGTTCTATTGTAAATTTTAGTATAATTATATATAAATTTAATAAAATAAAAATATATATTTATATTTTTATGTCGACATGAAATTGTGATATGTAATTTTCATATAAAACATAACACAAGTCATGAATTTCAATTGTTACACAATATAATACACAAATGGATTAAGTAGAGTCTAATAACAAGGAATCATAGAAGCATTTACAATATTTTATACAGACAATGTCTAATTCATGGTGGAAAGTTATAAAAATGATTAATATTATGAATGATCTTTAAATTATAATGAAATATTCAATATAATATTTAAATTTTAAAAATTTATAATATAATATCAAATCTATAAATTTTTAACATCCTAATTATGGTATTTGCAAGGGGTGAGTAATTGTGGAGCTACAAAAATAATTGGCTTTCTTAATTCTCTAAAAATATATTATTTGAAAATAAAAAAATAAAGGTGTCTGGACTAAAAGGAGCCGAGTTTGGTTGAAACCTAAAAATCTTAGGTTTGGTCAGCTCTGCATTTTGTTTTTATTTATCATTAAAATATCAAAAATATATTTTACTAATTTTTAATTCTTTTAAATATATTCTAAATAAAATTTAAAAATAAATTATTTTACAATATAATAGCACAATCAATCTGAACTAGACTTTAAAAACTTTAGCAAGTCAAGATCTTTGCGTAGACTCTGCTTGGTTTCCTTTCCTTTTTACCTGAAAGGAGTGTTGGTGTCTTTCACTGTGTTCTCTCATCGATGGTAAATTCCAGGAATTGAAACTTGAATAAACTAATTTATTACTAAAATCACACTTTCTTAAAAGTGGCTGACATGCTTTAGAAAAATTTTGCAATGAGATAAAGTACAATCCATTGTGTGTAAAACGAAGCACAAGACTTTTTATTTTCCACAAATTAAAACGTTATTCACGCTAAAGTAAAACTAATGGTGAAGATATAACTATAAATTATATGAAGTGTCAAGCAAGTTGAAGTTGATTTCTCAATAACTTTCTTTTGGGTTTGGCCAACAACCAACATTGCAGTTGCTTTTAAAAGACCAATAGTTTCTTTTTTTACTTAGTTTTTTTTTTTTATTTTACTTTTTTTACACTCTTTTGAATTCATTTTTTCATGTATAAAAGCCAAAAGTGCAATTTGATATTAAAGTAAGTATTTGAAAAATTAAAAATTAAATAAAAAAGCATCTTTTAAGTATTATTATTTATCATATTATTCAATTTAAAATTATTTTTTATAAATAATTATATATATATATCCCATGCAAAGCGAAAGCTTCATTCTATTGATATATGAAAGTATAAATTTTTTTTATCCTTTATTAATAGCTTATGTAAAATTTTACTGTTAAAATTTATGAAATTTAATATCATATTATTGATTGTTTGTTACTATTTTATTAATCATTTACAGAGAAATCAGAAAAGAAAATGAAAAACTCGTAGACAAATCACAACATTTTATATTCATACATGTACTTTAAGAATCCAAATATATATTTCAATTAAATAACGTGGATATGAAGATAATGTGAATTTAAAAGTTGACGCCAATGCGACGATCCTTTCAAACAATGCAATATCTGATGTTATAATTTCATAGATTTAAAAGTAGATATGAAATGCTTTTAAAAAAATAGAAACCAAATGGAACTCGCAATAAAAGTTTCTTCTTTCCAAAAAGAAATAGAATGTAACAGGAAGTCACATGGAAAACGTTGAAAGAATTTTTAACCCAAACTCCGCAATTTCATGTAAAGCCACACTATGGGCTAAAGTATTAACTACAAAATGAAAAAACAATCAATAGTGTCATTTACAATCATTATGTAACTAATCATAATTTAAAATTATGTGAGATTTATAAAATATTATATAAAGCACACACACATAAGTGATGAATCCGTATATAATTTTTTAATATAATTAAATAATTATAATATTGTAATAAAAAAATTATAAGTGAAATGTTCCCAAACTAATTTACTTATTTCAATTAAATTTGTTATTAAAATGTTAATAATATTTTATATTAATATTTTAAAATTAAAATTTAATTAAAACATATTATTTATTAATATAATAAAATTCTCAAGTTGAACTCAAGTTTCAAAAATCATATTTAGGACTGGATCCAAGTCTTTTGACCAATAACCTAAAAAGTAGTTGGGTTTAACAAGTACTCCAACTATACAACTAAGAGAACGATTGTGAAATGAATGATTTTTTATCAAGATTGATCATCGATACAAAAAATAATAATAATCAAAACAATTAAATAATAGAAAATTAGTATATTTATAGAAATTTTAAATTAAATCCAACATATATACAATGAGATTTGATCATAAAATCTAATGCTTCCAATCCCTCTTTCTTATTATTGAGACAAAACCTTATATATATATATATATATCTATATATAGCATGAACAAAGTTTTAATTTGTGGAAAATAAAAGTCTATTGCTTGATTTTTCACGTAAAGGCACGCACTTGTCTCATTGCAAAATTTTTTCTAAATTATGTCAGCCATTTTCAAGAGAGAGTGATTTTAGTGACTAATTTATTCTAGTTTCAATTCCAAGAATAGTAGAATTCACCACTGATAGGAGAAAAAGAAAGAGACTAACCCTCTTCTTGGTAAGAAGGAAGAGGGAATTTTCTTTGCCTTTCCCTTTTCTTTCTTTCCTACAAATCAGAGTGTAAACGAGGACCTTGACTTGATTTCCTTACTGCGCTGTCAATATATACTGTTTTTGAATAAAAAATAATAAACCAAATTAAAATATTTAACAAAATATTCTGTAGACAAATTTGAATCAATTTATATTCAAAAGCCATTTTATAGGGATGGCTATTATTGCCAAACTCCTCGATTGTCTATATATATTAAGCTCGATGCAAGGCTTATTATTATATATTTAGAAGTAGCAGTTGATAGAGAATTGAAAATATAGAGATCATATATAAAGAAAAAGAGATGATGGAACCCAAATGGTTGTGGTTGAGTGTGTTGTTGTTGTTGTTAGAAGGATGTAGATGGTATAGCAGTGATGCGTGTTGGGAGGATGAGAGGATTGCTCTCTTGCAACTCAAACCTTTCTTCAACCATTATAATGATCTGAACAGCTGGGTGGAGGAGGTCAAGGATTCAGATTGCTGCCAATGGGAAAGGGTCGAATGCAACACCTCCTCCTCCTCCTCCAGGCGAGTCATAGGACTCTCTCTTTATCATACAAGATGGTCCGACATTGAAAGTGTTGGGATTTGCCTTGAATCTCAGAATCCCATATCGAAAGTTAAGTGAGTTTGAGTTTGTCTTGTATCCCACATCGGGAGTTTAGTAAAAGTATAAAGGGTTTCACCCTTATAAATAAGATGTTTTGGTTTTAGTTTAGTAATCCCAAAGGGTTAGACACCAAGAGAATAGCTAAGTGAGTAGGCTATTAAAAGGGTGTAATTGGGTTTTGGGTTAAGTTTTGAGTAAGGAGTTTTAGGAGACTTTTCTCATTCTAAAAGTCTCACAATTGTAAAGATTTATTTGATAGTGGATTAGATTTGGAGTAGGCCATTTTGAGTTGGGCTGAACCAAATATATTTTTGTTTTCTTATTCTTGATTTGAGCTTATTATTGTGTGTGTGGTTGCCGCGCGTGGGTGTTGATTTTTCCCAACAAGTGGTATCAGAGCGAGGTTTGAGGTTCGAGGTTTAAAGTTCGTGAGTTCAAGAGATCGTGAAGCAGTGTTTGAAGATGTCTGAAGAAGGTATGTCTGGTATGCCTATGTCTGAAGAAGGTATGTCTGGTATGCCTATGCCTAAGTTTGAGATTCCGTTATTTGATGGAAAGAGTAATTTTATGTTATGGCAAAGTACGATTCAAGATCTATTAGTACAACAAGGATTGGATCAGGCATTAGAGAATAGTAAGCCTGAGGGAATGTCTGACGCTAATTGGAATAGGATTCAGAAGAAGGCTGTTAGTACTATTAGATTGGCGCTAGCTCCAGAGGTAAAATACAGTGTGTTGACTGAGAGTACTCCGAAAAGTTTATGGGATAAGCTTAAATGTATTTATGCTTCGAAGTCATTGACTAATAGATTATGTTTGAAGATGGATCTGTATTCTCTGAAGATGAAAGAAGGTATGAGTCTTCATAATCACCTGAATGAGTTTAATAGATTGATTTCTCAATTGCTAGCGATTTCTGTTGATGAGTTAAAAGATGAAGAGAAGGCTTTAATTTTGCTGTCATCTTTGCCCAAGTCTTATAGGCCTTTAGTTCAAACTGTGTTGGTAGGTAGGTCTACTTTGAAGTTGGATGATGTGACTGCCTTGTTGCGTGAGAATGAAAGGTTTATGGGAGCTCAGAACTCATCACCTAGGGGAGTACATTAGTTGTAGAGGGTTTTGATCGAGGGAGGACTCAAAAGAGGATTGATGGATCAAGATGGAGATCCAAGTCAAGAGACAGAGATTACAGTGATGTAGAATGTTATTATTGTGGTGAGAATGGACATATCCAAGTGCACTGCAGGAAGCTGAGAAGGGATATGGCTGCTTTCAAAAGGGTGAATGATGAGAAGAAATCAGATGAAGAAAAGAGTGATACTGCTGCTGTTGTGTCTGATGATGATGATGTTGTTTTAACAACTTGTGTGGATAAGACTCAGACTTTGAAAAGTGATAAAGATTGGGTTTTAGATTCAACTGCTACAGTTCATGTTTGTAATGATAGGAGTTGCTTTGTGGAGTTGAATGAAAATGAAAAGTATGGGGATATTGAGGTTGCTAACAAAGAAAAGGTGCAGATTCAAGGCATTGGGAGTGTTTGCCTTAGATCTCACAATTGTGTTGTTAGGACACTTCGTTATGTAAGATATGTACCAAATTGTCACTACAATTTGACTGCTTTGGGTGAGTTAGCTTCTCGGGGGTACACATTTTATGGTAGTAATGATTGGTTGAAAGTGTATAAGAATGGTAGTGTGATTCTACAAGGGAATAGGGTCAATCACTTGTACATGTTTGATGGAGGCTCAGTTGCTGAGATGCCTGTGATGAAAGAAAAGAAGAAAGGTAAGCGTGTTAGCTTTACAGATACTATTGAAGTGTTTGGAGATTTAAGTCAAGGGAGGATTTGTTGGGATTTGCCTTGAATCTCAGAATCCCATATCGAAAGTTAAGTGAGTTTGAGTTTGTCTTGTATCCCACATCAGGAGTTTAGTAAAAGTATAAAGGGTTTCACCCTTATAAATAAGATATTTTGGTTTTAGTTTAGTAATCTCAAAGGGTTAGACACCAAGAGAATAGCTAAGTGAGTAGGCTATTAAAAGGGTGTAATTGGGTTTTGGGTTAAGTTTTGAGTAAGGAGTTTTAGGAGACTTTTCTCATTCTAAAAGTCTCACAATTGTAAAGATTTATTTGATAGTGGATTAGATTTGGAGTAGGCCATTTTGAGTTGGGTTGAACCAAATATATTTGTGTTTTCTTATTCTTGATTTGAGCTTATTATTTTATGTGTGGTTGCTGCACGTGGGTGTTATTTTTCCCAATAGAAAGATGGTATCTCAATGGCTCTTTGTTTCTCCCTTTCAAGGAACTGAAGCATCTTGATTTTTCAGGGAATAGAATCGCTGGTTTTGTTGAAAATGAAGGTCCCTTTTGCTCTTTCATTGCTAATTTGCAATATGAAAATTCATTCATAACTTTTTCATTTTTACAATTTCATATGTAATTCTATTATTGTTTTATTGATGAAAAGCCACTAAGTCCTTATTATATATTTAAAAGAACTCTCTTGTAGGTTTTGCGAAGCTAAATTTGAGATCCTTGATTTAAGTGACAATTACTTCAATGATACAATTTTATTATCTTTGAGTCAGCTTTTATCTCTCAAGGATTTATATCTAGCAGGAAACTTGTTCACTGGATCCAGTCATGCAAACGGTGGAATTAAATTAATCTAATAATGATTATGAATGATAAACAGTAATTAAAATATTAATCTGTCTTCATTATAGGTTTTCAATGGCTTTCAAGACTTAGTAAGTTGGAAACTCTTAATTTAAGGTACAACTCTTTGAAAAATAACATATTGTTTCATATGAATGGTCTTTATCTTTAAGGACTTTAAATTTGAGTGCAAATCACTTGGAAGGAACCATTCATATTCATGGTAAACTTGCTTTACCTTTCTTTTACATTCAAATCAATTGTTGTTTCAGGAAAAGGTGTTGCATAACATTTGCTTTTATACGTAATATTAATTGCTCTTTGGTATGGAATAGGATTGAATAATTTGATAAATTTGGAGAACTTAGATTTAAGCTACAATAAAATTGAAAGCTTCTAACCATCAAAGCAAGGTAAAAATATATATTTCAATTCACTCAACTAAGTTCTTAATTATGTGATCAATGTATAAAATTTCCCATTAACAGTGGCATATAATAGAAATATTCTTCTACAGGAAAGGAGATACAACTAAGGATGACCAATTTGGAGGTTCTTGATTTAAGTAATAATCTCTTCAAGAACGACACTTTTGCAATCCTTTCTGGCCTTCCAAGTCGAAAGTGCCTGTATATGGGGAACAACCAATTGCAAGGCTCAATAGATATTAAAGGTAAAGCTATTACAACCCCCTTTTTTTTTTAATTCTATTTTAGAACCCTTTTGCTCATCAAATAGGTAAAATCTCATATCAGATTTGGGGATTTTTCCTCTTCATTTAAAGCTTTAGATTTGTTTTGCCGTTTATTTCATTGTAAAGTCATTAAAAATATTCAGTAAAAGATTATTTGAGTAACTAGGCTAACATAATGATTATTTGAATTGAACTTGGACATAGAATTGAATAATTTGATGAATTTGAACAAGTTGTATTTATACTCGAACAGAATCGAAAGCCTTCAATCCTTACAAGCTATGCATTTATATTTGCCCAATTAGTTAAATTGTTAGATATAATTAAATATTATGTAAATCTCTTTTTAGTGATGAAATTATGTAAAGATAGAGGGAGACAGTTGAACTTGACCCATTTAGAAGAATTTGATTTGAGTAATAATCTCATTAATGACAGTGTATTTGCATCCTTTAGCGAGCTTTTAGATTTGAAGTTTTTGGATGTAAGCATCAATCAGTCAAATGGGCAAATAGATATGAAAGGTAAAATTACCTTTTTTGCAAAAATTTTGAATTTGTTAACAGAAATCTTAATTTATGTTTCAAGATGACATGACGAATAAGTTCATCTGTTTCTTTTCTTTAATTATGAAATTATGCAAATTATTTATAGACACTGGAAGATAACTAAAGCTGGCCAATTTCTAAGAGCTTGATTTAATTCATAATCTAATTAATTATTACTTTTCAACTAAAATTTCATCTCTGTTACAAATACTTAAAAAATTTACTTCATGTTTTTGGATGATTTAATGAAATTTATCTATTACTTTTTTTTTCCCAGACTTCAATAACTGTAGTTGAAATGCTCTCATTAAAACTAATGCCCAACTTTTTAAAGGAAGAAATTCATTATAATTTTATTACTAATTAAAAAATGATATATATTTGCATTAGATAATTGCTTTCTTTAAGAAGTGTTGCAGCTGCATACCAAATATTTCCCTTTTTGTTCGTATTAGCTTGTTGTGTCTTAAAGTTGGACTTGTATGCTTGTGCCATTCTGTTTTAGACTACTATTCATTCTTATTCCTTTCGAAAAAATTATGCCTTTTCTTGTTATAGTTTTGTTTGATTTTCATCTTCTTGATTGTTTCATATATTAAAATATATATTGAAAATTGTTACCATTTCAATATTCTTCTCTATTAAAAATTTATCTTGCATAAATCTTGGATATATAATCTTATCTTCAAAAATAAAAATTTACACTTATTTATTTTTTCTATTTACAAAATATAAGAGTTTGAAAAAGTTAGAAGTCCTTTGTCTAAATGTGGTTTTCACCAATGGAAGCATTCCACCACTACTAAAATTAATAGAGGCATTCCCATCAGTTAAGACTTTCTATCTACAAGAGAATTACTTAAACAAGACTACGGTTACGCAAGATCAAGGTAAGTCACTAATTCATTCCAAAAGGACGTAAATTAGTAGATGTTTGTTGATTAACAACTAATAATACCTCCTATGCTATGATTACTCAGAATTGCATGCGTGGAACAATGTGGAGGAAATATTTCTGGACTACTCCTATCTGGACAACAACATTTTGCAAAGCATTGGAGTATTCACTTCTCTCAAAACTTTGTCTTTAAGTAACTGTGGACTTATTGGTTCCTTACCAAATCAAGGTAAATTAAAGACTATAATTTCTCCAATATAACTCATGGAATACATCTATTTCCAATAATCCTTTTTTCTATTTCTTTCATCTAATATCTTTTATATATATTCTGTTTCGGAAATCAAAATTTAATTAAAATTTCTTCCATGAATTTATAAATTTTTCAGGTTGGTGTAATCTAAGGAACCTTAAAAGTTTGGATATCAGTAGGAATGCACTCGAGGGGATACTTCCTCATTGTTTGCGTAGCTTGACATCTCTTCTTCAGTTAGATATCTCCTACAATCAATTAACTAGAAATTTGACTCCTTTAGCAAATCTTTCAACACTTAGATTCGTTTCCCTTTCAAGAAATCATTTTCAAATTTCAATGCCATTCCTATCACTTGCAAACCTTCCAAATCTCAAGGTTCTTTTGGGTGATGAAAACAATATGGTAATGGAACCTAATTCCTTTCATACTTCAATTCCGAAGTACCAACTAAATTTCATCAGCTTGTCAAAATGTACAATAGATAAAGGACTTAACCTACAACCTCCTAAGTTCCTTTATTACCAATATGACTTAAGATATGTTGATCTTTCCTATAACAATTTCAGTGGAACAGTCCCATTTTGGTTGTTAGAAAACAACACAAAATTAGAAAATCTCTTCATGTTGGGTAATTCTTTCACTGGTCCTTTCTTGTTACCATAGCTTTTTAATCCTAATGTGTCTTCAATTGACATATCTAATAACAAATTACAAGGTCAAATTCCAACAAATATATGTTCAACTTTTCCAAAATTGGAATTCTTATTCTTATCCAAGAATGCCATTAAAGGTAATATCCCTCATTGTTTAAGTGACATGGGTTTTTTATCAGTTTTAGACCTATCGGATAATCATTTGTCTGGAAGAATACCAGAAGAATTGATCATGAGAAGCTTATTAGATGTTCTTAGGCTATCAAATAACAACCTAAGTGGAAAGATTGTTCCAATGATGTTCAACACAAGCATGATGTCATATTTGTATTTGGATGACAATAATTTTGCTGGAGAGATACCTGATATTGATCTCTCTGCAACTCATTTTTCACATTCATCACTAGTGGATATTGATCTCAGTAATAACGGTTTTAATGGAAAGCTCCCAAGATGGATAGGGAATGTATCGCATTTGAAGAGATTGGCTTTGTCCAACAATCATTTCGAAGGTTCTATTCCAATGGAATTGTGCAACTTGTATGAGCTTGAATTTTGGAGCTTTCTCAAAACAATTTATCTGGCTCTATTCCTTCTTGTTTCAATCCACCATATTTGAGACATGTCCACCTGAAGAGAAACAGACTAAGTGGTCCATTGACACTTGCTTTTAATAGCTCTTCATTAGTGACATTAGATCTTAGAGGGAATAATTTGACCGGTAATATTCCAAAATGGATTGGCACATTTTTTGCTTTAAACGTCCTTCTTTTGAAGGATAATCATCTAGACGGTGGAATTCCAGTTTAATTATGCAAGTTATATTCATTGAGCATCATAGATCTTTCTGGAAATATGTTTTCCGATCCTATACCTTCTTGCTTGAGTAATTTAACTCTGGTAATGAAAGAGGAGAAGTCTTTCGTAGATAGTTCTAAATATATAGCAAATACAATGCAGGATCTACCAATATACGTTTTGAAGGATTTATCACATGATTATCCTGTTAGCAACATGAAAGAATGGATAGAGTTTACAACAAATAGTGTGTCCTATTCATACGGTGGTGACATTCTTAAGTACATGTCTGGGATTGATTTATCTTATAACAGGTTAACTGGGCAAATCCCAGTCGAACTGGGAAACTTAAGTGAAATCCATTCGTTAAACTTATCACACAATAACTTGGTCGGAGTTATACCTTCATCATTTTCACAACTTAAGCAAATTGAGAGTTTGGATCTTTCTTACAACAACTTGAGTGGGAGAATCCCTATACAATTGGTTGAGTTGAACTTTCTAGAGGTTTTCAATATGGCACACAACAACTTGTCAGGTTGTACTCCAGAACCAAAAGCTCAGTTTGGGACCTTTGATGAAAGCAGTTACAAGGCAAATGCTTTTCTATGTGGGCCTCCATTGCAAAATAACTGCTCTAAAACTGAGTCACCATCAACAGTGCCTACTACAACAGATAATGAAGGAGAAGGTAGTTTCATGGACACATTTGTTTTTTGTGTAAGCTTTCTGGTTTCATATGTATTGTTTTATTGGGAATTTTTGTTGTTCTATACATAAATCCATATTGGCGACAAGCATGGTTTTCTTTCATCAAGAGTTGCATCACTACTTGTCACTACTCAATTGTGGACAGTTTTCTTGAGTTATACATCTTCAAAAGCTGTGCTTAGGTGTCATGGGAGCTCTTATGATTTGCCTTTCGTTCGAATGTGGTGAAGATTTGGATAAAGTTGATTTTTGTTGTTAAAAGAAGTTTGGTGATTTGATCTTTTAAATGAGGGATTTCTTTTAGCTGATTGTTCTATTAAGATGGTTGTAGGACGAGCTGTGGATTTGATTACTCAGATTGCTTAGAAAGAGTAATTCGATGATTTTGCACTTTCAACAGAGCTTTTTGTTTCTGTCGAAACTCGATTTTTTATATTTGTTTCGTTTTGAAGAAAGACTTTTTAGCTTTGTGTCTTGTTGATTTTATGTTTGTATACAAATATTCAATTCGCTATTCTCCATCTTCTACAAGTTATTATTAATATCTTTTCCAAATCATTATTCAAATTAACAAAATTTTCCTCGTTACTTTTGAGTTAGTTTTGCGGTTATAGCAAATGATTTCTAGCATAGATAGGCAAAGATTGCTAACTGTGGCCCACCAAGAACATTTCTAAAGTTATATTGGTTGGATTCACTTGTTTTAACCAGATTTTGTAACAATCCTAAAAAGCTATTTCAATTTATTTTCTTTGATGCTTAAAAAATTGGATTTTAAACAATAACAATAGTAGTAGTATTAGTAAGAATTTGAATTTTAAATGAAATACATCACATTAAGTCAATAATTAAGAATTTATCAAAATTTTTAAAAGAGTTGTTATCATATTGAAATAATATGAAATAGTCAAGAATGTGCTTTCTCTTTTTTCTTTTTTTTTATTTATCAATTTCTCATTTCTTAGTCTTTTACAGAGGTTTAAGGACTTCACACAAATAAAAGGACACTGAACTTAATAACGTGCCTGATCTTTGAGGTGGTGGTGGGATTGCAGCTATGAGATATGGATTGGAAACCATGGCTATAATCAGGGGCGTAGATAAGTGTATATGAATGAGATCAATGTCTCCAATTAACTTTGAAAAACTATAAATATATATATATATAGTTTATGAAATGTGCCACAAATCTTGTATTCTATTAATACTTATATAGAGCATTAACTCTTAATTTTTTTATGATCATGATTTAATCCTTGACACATTCAAATACCAAAAAAAATAAGAGTTTAAATTTACATTAGAATGACCATCAATGAGTATTATACACTTACCAACATCAAAACAAACTGATTTTAAATCTTAACACTATTTAACTTATTTAAAAATAATTAATTAAAATTAAATTAAAAATTAAGGAAACCTAAATTGTTTTCCCATATCTTCATCTAAAATAGTTGATGAAAACCTAAGATAAAAAATTAATCACTTATCTTCAAAAATTCCCAATGAAGATTTGATTCCATTCTCTTTTCTTCTTTGCTATAGATGGTTGTAACTTCTAACAAAAAAATGATAAATATTGATGGAAGAGATATCAGAAGACAATAGAAATTAAAGATATGGTTGAACGAATAAAAGTTTTCAATCAATTTTCGATTAAAAGCCAATAGACTAATCTAAAAGAGGTAATTTTTTTTATCAAAATTAATGAGAAAATTGAGAAGGTGAGAAAACAGAGAAGAGAAAATTACTAGAGCTTCAAAATTAATAAGAAAAATGAGAAGATAAGAAAATAGAGAAGAGAAAAATGCTAGAGCTTCTTCATTTTCTCATTAAAGCCCTAATTCGTTTTTTTTTCAATTAATTGTTAGTTATTACTTGTTAAACAGGTTAATTAAAGATTAAAGGTTGATATGGATTAGTTTGGTTTCACTCTCACAGTGACGGATTTCCATGGTATTGTAAATTTAAAGGAAATTTACATTTAAATTTTGTGCTAGATACCTCAAAATATTCTTCTGGACACTAAAACAAAGAACCTCTGCTTTTTTTTTTCTTCTTTTCCTTTTCGCTATTTTTTCACAAATTTTGCATTGCCATTTTTGTTTTAATTTGGGATTAGAATGCCCCAAAATAATTTCGGTTGCCTTTCCTTTTCTTTTTCCTTTTAAGATTTTGTTTTCTTTTTCTTTTTGTCTTTTTTGTAAAAATTTGTTTGCCGATGAACTTGTATCATAAAAAATAAAACTACATTTGTTAAAGGAAATAATTTTTTTTTGTAAAAAAATTATTCTTTGGAGGTGTTGGATGTAATTGTTCTTTGGAGTAGTACCTAAACGTTAGGTTCTTTGTTTTAGTGTTCACATTCAGGTTCTCTTTGATGCTTCATGTGGTTTGTATTGATTGTATGGATCTTTTCTTTGCTAGCAAAGGCTAACCTCGCAACTTTTGAGTTATGTTAATTAAATTTTTATAATATTTTTATTTAATTTTTTATCAATTCACACAAGTGAACTTGTGTCATTTGACTCATAACATCAATTTTAAGCAAAAATTTTATATTAGCATTAGACTTTGACATAGTGAAAAAAATAATGTTTTGAATAAAAAAATTGTTTTGAAAAAAATAATATGTAAAAAAAGATGATTAATTTTTTAAAGTGAAAACATATTTGTACCTTTTATTTAAATTTTTTATAATAATTTCTTTGCCAATTCACCCAACTAGTTGCTATCACTCGAGACATCGAATTCAATCGGGAGTGTGTGACAACAGATATCTATACTAATATTAAAAGGATGTTATACAGTTAAATGCAAATATAGGATGTTATGTCAATTAATGCATTGAAGTGATGTAAATGCAGAAAATACTCAGGGCAGAGGGAACAACGAGGAGGTGTGGAAAAGAATATGGTCTGTTAAGGTTCCAACCAAGATGAGAACTTTCATGTGGTGGTTTTGTCATGGTATTATACAGGTAATGGTTAACTTGGCGAAAAGGTAGATTCTAGTGGAAAAAACTTGCTTGCAATGCAGGGTGGTGAACGTCCATGGGCAACAGAAGCATGGAAACACCTAAACTATCAGTGGGAGTACGATAATGAAGTGCAGCAAGAGAGTATGGATTCGTTCCCTAAGATGATTATGAAACTTAAGCATGAACAGCTCCAACTATTTGCGATAACATGATGGATAATATGGAATGATCGAAATAATGAGGCTAACGGAGAGCAAATGAGGAGTTCCCTCGCATCAGCACCATTCACGAAAACTTACTTGCTGGAATTCAACCAAGCTCAGCAGAAACAGATCATAATGCAGCAAATGCCAAACGATACCTCAAAAATGGAAGCTCCCAGTTAGTGACTACTATAAAGTAAAATTTGATGCTTTAACAGTGGTGCAAGAAATTGCTTTAACAGTGGTGAAATAATGAGGCAGCGCATTTGCTAGCTAAGCAGTGGTTAAAGGAATGTCTTGAATTCATTTAAACCATTGTAACTACTGATGCAAGCTTGAATTATGAATGAAAGAATTAGCATTTTATTTCAAATAAAAAAAAGTAGTCGATGTCACGAATTAATTGAACACTAACTTAGTTGATAAATTTACTTAAAAATCAAATGAAAATTAAAATAATAAAATATAATTAAAGGATATTTTTGTCTTTTAATTTTCAAAAAACTACATATACATCTTACATCATAACTTTTTTTCAACTCACTTTTTTTTTTTCCATTTTCACTGTAGAGATAAAATATGTTAAGACTTGAGAACATGTTTACGCTAGAAAAGAAATTTGATATATACAACTTGTTCTAAGTTCTAGATACCTAAAATTTATGAAAGCTCTATATAGAATTTCGTAATATTTTTTATTTGGTCTAAAAATTGCACGATTGGAAACTTTAGATGAATTAACAATAACAATCTTCTTATTTCAACTATAAGATTTTTTTTTTTTAATTTTGACTACGAATCAATTTTGATATCCAATTTATCACTTCATTCAACCAGATAAGTTATCATTTGGTCTAAGCAATTTAACCTTATGCGTTAATTTCATTCTTAGCGATTATTTGATCCATTAATTGTTAATCAGATTTAGGGTGATATCAAAAAATTTATAAAAAATAAAATGCTTAAATATAAAAAAGTCTCTGAACGATTTAATTTCTTGTCAACAGAATGGTCTGATGTTGTTGTAGAGCCATGGATGTTAGTGGTTCTTTCCAACATACTGATCAGTGTTTTTCATTGTGGGTAGGAACAGGTAACATAATTCTGACGCCCACTTCCGCTCTCGGCTCTCTTGTAGATAAAGATGTACGGACGTGGATTTATGTTGCTGAGTACGTGTTACAGATACCTTCAAAGATTGCAAAATAAAAAAAAAAAAAAGGAAAATTTTCTGCTGAATACTTAAAAATTTTTTTTTTACTTTCTTTTCCGCCGTTAAAATTAACGAATTTGTCGATAATTTATATATAGTATATATATCCAAAATATTAAATTTAAATAATTTATTAAACGCAATTATTTGACAACGGATTAAAATTTATTAAGCACATATATTTGGAACTGACTTAATTTTAAAAAGAAAAGATAAATTATAATTTAATATATTTGAAGTCAAAATTTGTGTAAAATTTTCAGCTAGAGCTAAATCCTTGACATTCTCAAATTAAAAAAAAAAAGTTAAAATTATATAAGCATGATCTAAAAAAATTTTTTTTAGGCGTCAATTAGAGACATACCACATATAATTATTTAGACGCTTTGGATGAATATTATACACTTACCAAGACTAAAACAATTCTCATTTAAATCTTAATACTAGTTAACTTATTTAAAAATAAATAATGAAATAAAATTAAAAAGAAATTAGGAAAATCTAAAGCAATTTCCCACATCTTCATCTTGTCGTAACGGTTTTGGAACCGTCATACATAAAGGGTTTTAAAATTCAAAAAAATAAAAAGGGAGTCGCCACCAATCTATTTTAGGGTGTGATTAGTCACCTAAAAATTTATCTTTTTAATAAAACTTTAAAAGCGGGTTTATAGTTTATCAAAAAGATAAATTTCGTTCTACGAAAATCAGGTTGGGTTCTGAAGTCGATTACGTGTGGGGAAGGATTAGCACCCCCACAATGCCCATAAATTGATACCATTTAATCATGTGCTATTTTTGATGTTGGATTAAATGGTTTTAATTTGGAATTTAACATTAATTCCTTCGCTTAAAAAAAATAAATTTTGGTTAAAATTTTTTTTAGGAATATAAAAAAAATCTTTAAGTTAAAGAATTATCTTAAAATTCTTCAACATCTAGGTAGAACTTAAGATAACTCTTTTCGCTTAAGATTTAACATGATATTCCTTAAAATAAAAAATAACACTATTTATGAAAGATAATTATTGGTGACTCTCCAACATCTAGGCAGAGTACCAAGAATTATTTTTTTTGAAATGTTATTTTAATTTTATTTTGTAATATCAAAATTTTAAAATATGTATTTTTTGTAGAACATTTTATAAAACAAATGATGGCAGTGTCAGGCAGCAAGTAAAAATTAAAGATAGAGAAGTGCAACACGAATAACGTGATGATGTATGTATGTTAATGGATATTATGTAAGATGAAATGCAATTTTAAAGTTGGGTAATAAGACCTCTCCGACTCTCCAACATCTAGGTAGAGCTTAGGTGCGATTATTTATATTTAAGATCCCATTTTATTAATATTTTTTATTTAATAATCTCGTTATTAATGCGAATTAAGAACTCGTGTGAAAAAACTTAATGAAATACTAAATACCCCATCATCTAGGCGACATTCGAGAACAAATTACTCCACATGAGATTTTCACACGTGTCCTTAGGATTTTTAAAATAGATTTGAGGTTTTAGGGGTTTTAGAGTTTGTACGATTTTTTTCGGTGATGGTTCGGAGTTGTGTGCCAAATTTGGGATTTTTGGATTTGAATTTTGAGGTTTTTGGATTTTAAGGTTTGACATTTTGGATTTTAGGGTTAGGTTTTTGAGTTTTAGATTTTGGGGTTTAGGGTTTGAGATTTGAGGTTTTGATTTTAGGGTTTGAGATTTGAAGTTTTGATTTTAGGGTTTAAAGGATTTACGATTTAATTTTAGGGTTTGAAGGTTTGGAGTTTTACTTTTAAGGTTTGAGCTTTGAAGTTTTGATTGAAGGTTTGTAGGGTTTAAGGTTTTGATTTTAGGGTTTGAAGGTTTGGAGTTTTAATTTTAAGGTTTAAAGGTTTGAGGTTTCGTTTTAGGGTTTGAAGGTTTGGAGTTTCATTTTAGGGTTTGGGGTGTTTGGGGTTTGATTTTAGGGTTTTGAAATTTAGGTTTTAAAAAAAACGTGAACATCTCTGAAAATCTACAACATCTAGGCAGATTTTAGGAGCAAGTTCGATTTTTATAATTTTTAAAAATTAATTAAAAATTTTTCATATATTTCTTTTTTATGAAAAATTATTATTAAAGAAATTATTAATTTATTATTATTATTATCTTTTTATACTTTTTTATTAATTTAAACAAAAATTTTTAATAAATTTTTTTTTTATAATTTCTCAACATCTAGGTGGAATTATATTTTTAAAAGTATATTTTTATTCCCTCCAACATCTAAGCAGGGAAAATAAAATACAATAAATATTCAATTTTTATTATTTTTTAAATTATTATTATTATTTTAGCATTTTTAATATTTTTAATTATTAGTTATTATCCTATTTTATTTTCATTTTATTATTATTAAAAATAATCAAATATTTATTCTAACAAATTTAACAACTTATCATGCATGAATATAAAAAAATACTCAAAATAATAAAAATAATAATATATAAAAAAAAATTTTAAAATTTTTTACTTGAACCGGACCGATCAACGGTGGTTCAGATGGACTGAGGAGGTTTTCATTCAGCTTACGGTTCGTTTGAGTCGGTTGAGGAGCAGTTCAGGCCGATCTAGGGAGCAATTCGATCCGGTTTGATCAAATCGATTCAAAACTGCTGAGGAGCCGAGTTGACGGATCGGTTGCGCGAACCTCGGGTCGGGTCCGGATCTATTCGCGGATCCTCTTATGCGTGAAACGATGTCGTTTGGTCATATGCTCAAAACGACGTCGTTTTGCTCCTATGTTTTCTATAAAAGTCAAATTTTTTTTTTTCAATTCATTTCACCCTTTTCTCAAAAATAATATATTGCCTAAAAAAAATCCTCTCTGGCTTCGGCCAGAATTCGACGTCGGATCGTCGCGCCGGTTGTCTTCTGGGTCACCCCTGGCGGTAGCCGTCAGTGGTCATCGGTTGCGAAAAAATGTCAAAATACTCCCAAACATTCACCTCAGCGTCCTCTTTCTAGATCCGACGTCTGTTTTGTCAGAAACAGCCCCAATCAACGTAGATCGAGGCTTGAAGTTTTCTACATTTTTTTTTAAAGAGACTGATGTGATTTTTTTTTCTTTTACAGGTAGGGCAGCGCTGGGTTCCTCCCTGCGGGGAGGACTATGTTTGTCCCTTTTTTGTTTCTATTTTTTTTTATGTTTGGGTATTTGGGTATGGTTGGTGTGGGTTCTATTTGGGGTTGTTGAAGGGAGAGGTTTCGTCTGAGCTTGGAGGTTTCTAGTATTCGAGTGGAATGAATGGGCTCTTGGTATTCGAGAGAGAGAGAGATCCCAAGGGGAAAAAGCTGGAGGTTTTTAAGGAGCTTCAAAAGGGGAATATGTTGTGGCTGTAGGGTGGCTGGTTGGGGGCGGTAGCGACACCGTTCACCAGTCATCCTACTTTCTATTTTTTTCTTTTTCTCATTTTCTCTTTTTTTTTAATTAATATTTTTAAAAATATATATTAGTATTATTATTATTATTAATTATAAAAGACTTGGATAAAATTCGGTGTCTACACATCTAAAAAAATCGTACATGGTTAGCACCTTAAAATTTTATGTTTGGTCAAATCTTTCATTTCATTTTTTATTTATTATTAAAATATTAAAAAGATTTTTATATTAATAATTTAGTATTTTTAAATATATTTTAAATTAAATTAACAATATTGTTTAACGAGAACAAAATAAGCAATTAACCTTAATAAAAACTTTTAAATATTTTGTTTAAGACTTGATTGAATTGAAACTAGCAAATGGTCCAACACATAGATG